TTATTAAATATCACCCACAATTTCATCAAGGAACAGTGGAAAAAAAAATACCTCACTCAAATCTAACTGTTGAAAGTGGTAAGGATGAAAGTATTTTTCTTCTGTAGTACTTACAGAGACCCAGTCATTTTAACATATTGGATTTTGTTTGTATGATGGTTTCTAGGTATGTAACTCTGTCATTTAAAAATTATGATAATTTTAGCTCTTTCCAATTCTTACACTATTTTACTTATCATAAAGTCATAATTCTGCAACCAAAATTACATATACTAAACAGAGTTTCTTAGTCATTCACTAGTATCTCTTACACAGTATCCATCTTCAGACATCACAAAACCCTGATAAGTAACAGCTGGTACAGAGACATTCCATTTCCTATGATCTAACCCACTTTACAAAGCCAGGACCCTACGTTGCATTCATAACACCGCCGAGGCTATCTCATAATTCCACAGATACCAAATTCAGAAAGAACTTACTCCAGTCATGTACAATCTCAAACACATCACTCACAACTAATCGTTCTAAAAGGTTTGTCAGTTTCTTGGAAAGTTAAACATAAACTTACTAATTATCCGGCAACATTTCTTCTAGGTATTTACCCAGGAAAGATGAGAACATGTCAGCTTAATTCATAATATATAAAACCTGGGAATACACCAAATGATCATCAACAAAAAAAGACTAAAATTGTGGCATATTTGCACAATGGAATGCTGTTTAGAAATTTAAAAAATGAACTATACAACTGATAAATCTCAGAGACGCTGGGATAAGCTAAAAGAGACACATGGAATTTTGGAACTGACAAACTAAATTACAGTGACAGAAATCGGAACTAAGGTTTCTGTTTGGAAACTGGAAAAGGACACCGGAGAACTTCCTGGCGGTGACGAGGATGAGCACACACACACTGAGCTTCCGCTACGTGCCAGATGTTGTTCTGCGTTCTAGAGTTTTCTCATGATGCAAAACTGACCAAAAATCCCCGGTCACCCTCAGGTTGACAACCACAGACCACCCCCCGGGGCCCAGCACTTACAAGCCAGCGTCAAGCAAAACCTCGCCTGTCCCAGGCTTGCAGTTCTCGCCTAGACCCTCCCTGGCCAGAACGCCAGTACCCGCTTCCGGAGTTCTCTGCCGGCTACACAGCCGGGTCCGCGACTCCCTTTTCCCAGCGCGGCCAGGGCTTCCGGTTCTTTCCTGGGGAGTGGAGGTGGGGGCGACCTAGGCTTCCGGTTCCCTCCTCTGCCAGCCTCCGCCTGGCTTCCGCCTCTTCTGCCCTCCCCCGCCTGAATTCCCCGTTACTTCCTCGATCTGGCGCTTCGGTTCCTTCCTCCACTTCACTTCGTTCCCAGAGGACCATGCCCCGCATCCTCCGCGCCTGGAGGACCTGTCAGCTGCAACCGTCCTCCGAGGGCAAGCGAGCTACGCACCCGGGAACTCCCAGGAGTCTCTGGGGCAGGACGCGGTCTTTGTGGCCCGTGGGCTCTGTTTGAATGTCCGGACGTTTTCGGCGTTGGACTACGTTTCCCACAGGTCCCAGGGCGGTGAATGAACTTCAACCTTTGCTTCCCCTTCCGGTATTGTCGTGGTTGTTGAGTTCTGCCTTGTTGAGTTGAAATGACCCCAAGCCAGGTTGCTGGAGGAGCTCGCGCTGAGGAGGCCTGAAGGTGCCAGGGTGCGGATGGACCGCGTGGAGCCGGGAACCTCAGACCTGTGTATGCGTGAGCTGCGGACGACGGTGACTGTCAGTGCCGTTTTTTATGACGGAGTAGAGTGTGTGTGTGGGGTGGAGACTGAGTGTGTGTGTGACAGGACCCCGGTGTGTGCCCTGACTGGTGTCTGATCTGGCTCGTAGGACTCTGAGTAGGTCCAGGGCCTATCGTGTGACCCTAATCTGTGGTGACATCGTTATGTGACAGTGTGACTGAGTGATCGTGTGACAGACCATAAGTAATTGTGAACGAGGTGGAGTGTTTTTATTTTTTCCCAATGAGCCTGTAGAAGTTTGGTTGTGTTTTGGGTAAAGTGTCATTTTTACCAATTCTGTGAGCATACATGCATATATGTAAACTCATTTCTGTTCTGTGAGCATATCTGTGGCCATGAAGACTCGGATGCCTGTGTTAACCATAGTCCCGCTGCATTTAAGGGTGATCTGTGTTGTCTTCATCTGGGCATTTTGTCCCCAGTACTCAGCCTAGTGCTTAACACAGTGGTGACACTGGTGGAGTGATTGT